CTAACCTAACCCAACCCAATCTAACCTAACCTAACCCAACCCAACCTAACCTAATCTAACCCAACCCAACCCAATCTAACCTAACCTAACCCAACCCAATCTAACCTAACCCAACCCAACCCAACCTAACCTAACCTAACCTAACCCAACCCAACCCAACCCAATCTAACCTAACCCAACCCATCCCAATCTAACCCAACCCAACCTAACCCAACCCAACCCAACCCAACCCAATCTAACCTAACCCAACCCAACCCATCCTAATCTAACCCAACCCAATCTAACCTAACCCAACCCAACCCAACCCAACCTAACCTAACCTAACCCAACCCAATCCAATCCAATCCAATCCAATCCAACCCAACCCAACCCAACCCAACCTAATCTAATCTAATCTAATCTAACCTAACCTAACCTAACCTAACCTAACCTAACCTAACTTAACCTAACCTAACCTAACCTAACCTAACCTAACTCAACCCAACCTAATCCAATCCAATCTAATCCAATCCAATCCAATCTTGTGGGTGCTCCAACACTGGAGGTTTTTAAGAAGAGGCTGAACAACCATTTGTCTGAAATGGTATAGGGTCTCCTGCTTGAGCAGGGGGTTGGACTAGAGGACCTCCGAGGCCCCTTCCAACTCTGTTATTCCACTCTTCCGTCGTTCTTTCCTGACCTTCTCCTCCTTCTCCATTCAGAACTACACCGAATGCAACTGCGTGCTCCTCAACGGTGCCATCGGCTATGCTAAGCCCGGCCACTGTAGCTCTTCCTGCAGCCACTTCCTGCTGCCCTTCGTGTTGATTGCTGCCATCTCTGGATTCCTAGCCAGCCTCTCCCACACGCCGGCCTTCGTCCTCGTCCTCAGGTAGCTGGAGAAGCCAAGCAAGGGGGCATCTGTGCACTGGTTGATCGGTGTCCGGCCTGGGTTAGTTTTACAAATAATTCAAGGCAGCCAACATAGCCAGAGCACCTTTCTCACAACAACAAGCCAATGAGGTGGGTTGGGTTGAGAGACTGGCCCAAAGTCTCCCAGCTGGCATTCGTGTCTAAGGCGGGACTAGAATTCACCGCCTCCTGGTGATTGGCCCAAAGTCACCCAGCCGGCTTTCATGCCCAAGGCATCAATCTCACCATGGTCTCATTAAAATAGGAACCGTTGTGGACAACAGTCCCCCAAAGGCCCCCAAGTACTTTATAGACTGCCCTGAAAAGTTTGTGGGTTAATAGCTGACAATGATCGGTGGCAGGAAGTGGGGAGGGATCCCCATTGCACATACCTGGACTCCCTTCCAGCAATGAGGTGTCCCCCCAAGTTTTGATTTGGCAGGAAGCAAGAAGAACGGATGTCTGTGGAGTCTCAGCCATCCAGGTCCAAGTTGCCTCAAAGAAGCTTTTTTAAAATGGCAGCTGGACTCTTGAAGAAGAAGGAGGAGGAAGGAGTAGGAAGAAGAAAGAAGGAGGAAGAAGAAGGAGGAGGAAGAAGGAGGAGGAGGAAGAAGAAGAAGAAGAAGAAGAAGAAGAAGAAGAAGAAGAAGAAGAAGAAGAAGAAGAAGAAGGAGGAGGAGGAGGAGGAGGAGGAGGAGGAGG